CCCACCTCTGTAAACAATGTATTGATCCAACCCGTTGTATATGGATGATTTTCACTGAAATCATGAAGTAAGCTCACTTGTACAGTAACACTTATAGAGTTGTGATGTGGAGTCTTTATCTTCTACAGCAGGCAGAGCCTGTCTAGGTCAGACATGTTCCCACTTTTTTTCCTGGTAGATCTGAAAACATTCCACCACTTTTCAACAGCTGTAATTGAGTCTCACCTTAATTTGAAAAGTAACTATCCCACTTTGAGTGCTGACAGCAAACAACTTGTGTTGCCTTCTGTGGAAGTACTCTGACGTAGGTTATTTGAAAATTGTGGCATTCTGCCCAAAAGGCACTTTCGGTGGTATTGTTGACTTTTGGAAAATATAAGCAAACAGCTGAGAATAGTGTGTGTTGATGACAAGAAAGTGATAGGAATACAGGAGATCTATATCACATGGTTACAGTTGTTTCAAATTGCTGCTGCAGATCAGACATCATGCATGGAAACATTTGGTCACATAAACAAATTATGTGTCAGTGGAGAAAGTTGATAAATGAAAATCTTGTCACATCAGGTAAACTGATAGTTTTAAGACAGTTTTTCTTAATGTGATTATTTGATTGTTTTCGCTTAAATCAATCTATAATGTGAATATAACACTATAGTGATTACAATGTGCATTTCTTTTGTTTTCTACATTGTATTCTGCACTAACTACAGTGGTACCTCGGGTTAAGTACTTTATTCGTTCCGGAGGTCCGTTCTTAACCTGAAACTGTTCTTAACCTGAAGCACCACTTTAGCTAATGGGGCCTCCAGCTGCCTCCGCCCCGCTGGAACACAATTTCTGTTCTCATCCTGAAGCAAAGTTCTTAACCCGAGGTACTATTTCTGGGTTAGCAGAGTCTGTAACCTGAAGCGTATGTAACCTGAAGCGTATGTAACCCGAGGTACCACCGTATTCACATACTGGTGTGAGAGGGTATCTTGAGAATGTCACAAATGTACCCTATGTGAAAATGGACCAAGGTTGTCCTCAAGTACTGGAAGTTTATTGAACTGATTAAAATCTATTGGAAAAGGGTCCCTCGTACGCAAAGGAACCAGAGGAGAGAAACACATTTTTCAGTGTGATTTTTGGTGCAATCCTATACGTGTCAACTCAGACAAGTTCCACTGGTTCAGTGAAGCTTACTCCTGGGTCCATGGGTATAACATTGTAGGCTTTGTTGTGTCTATACAAGTTCAGTCCTGGAATCAGTATAAGGCCCAGAGGCCTACAGTCAAGCATTTGCATTAGTATTCTGTCTTGCTTTATTAATGTTATTAGGTACTTATACACCCATTAATTTTATTTTAGTTACAGATCTGTCAGCATTAACTCTTAACATGAAATTAAGAACGGGGGGGGGTGTCACTTCTTGGGGGAATGCATGAGAAATAGCCAACTCTTTGATCTTCCGTGTTTCTAGATTTTCACAGTTGTTCAAAGCCAAAGGCCTAGGCCACAAAATACAGAGGCTCAGTGAGGTAAAGCGAGGACATGTGGTTACCTTGCTTCTACATTTCTCTGCTTTTCTTGGCCAAGGTTAGATCTTTAATGAACTTTCTTTTAAACAATAGCTCCTTGTATGTGTAGCATGTAAGGTCTTTGCCAAAGATACATTTCAAAAGAAACCACAACTACCCTTCAATTTCTAAATCTTTGGTGCCGTTTCCTTTTAGAAGTGACATTTATTAGATGGTGTTATGCAGCATTTGAAATTCAATTTACATTCAGAAGTAATTCCCTTGCCAAGACATTAATTTCCAAGAAGTCTCCCCAGCTTTTTAGTTTTAGTTTAGGTTCCCTATATCTTCAAAGCAGTTAATCTTTAACACCTATTGGGAGAGCCAACATGGAGCCCTCCAGATATAGTGGACAGTAGCTCTTATTGGCTCAGTCTTGCATATCCAATGGTCTGCATTGGGAGTCAAAGTCCACAACATCTGCAGGACACAATGTTGGTTGGGCAACCCCTTCTAGGTGGCGCTGAGGTTTAAACCACAGAGCCTAGGACTTGTTGATCAGAAGATCGGCGGTTCGAATCCCCGTGATGAGGTGAGCTCCCATTGCTCAGTCCCTGCTCCTGCCAACCGAGCAGTTCAAAAGCACGTCAAAGTGCAAGTAGATAAATAGGTACCACTCCAGCGGGAAGGTAAACGGCGTTTCCATGCACTGCTTTGGTTCGCCGGAAGCGGCTTAGTCATGCTGGCCACATGACCCAGAAGCTGTACGCCGGCTCCCTCGGCCAATAAAGCGAGATGAGCACCACAACCCCAGAGTCGGTCACGACTGGACCTAATGGTCGGGGTCCCTTTACCTTTACTAAAGTTGAAGTAAACTTAAAGGGGGGGCATAAAAGCCTATGTTTAAAATATTGCTGCCTTTAACAACTATTTATTTTATGTTTTCTTACTGGTGCATTTCTGATTTCCAAGAAGCAAGTAGTTTGCTTCACGATCCCAAGCAGAAGCAAGTTCCATTGAGTTTAGTGTAATCTGCTTTTGTAGTATGTGTGCTTAGGGTTGCAGCTTTAAACATGCACATGTGTGTATAAGTGCACACATATATTTAAGAAATATATTTTAAGTACAGTATTTTAATGCATCATCACACAAACACTGAGAAACAGGGGTCAGTTTCAGATGACCATGCAAGCCAGCCAGGTTCATGCACCATCACAATGGTTTTGTTTTGTTTTGTTTTGGCACTATTATGGCTAGTAAAATGCTTGGGGGCACATGCATCCAATAAGCTCAGTTGAGGCTGGAGAAGCTGAAAGTCATCTCGGACTAGGTTTCTCAGTCAGCTGCCATGTACTGAAGTAGTTGTGTAAATTGGCCCTTTGAGACGCCATCCAGAGACTCAAAAAACAAATCATTCTATAAACCTGTACTCATTTATGGCATGTCATCTCTTCAATTTAAGGAGACTAACAAAGAATGGTTGCAGGTTACAGAGTGATGAGAAATTTATATTTACCTGAGGACATGTAGAGGCTAGCCAATGAGCACAAAATCATCTGTCCCTTCATGGCTTATTCACACACAAGAGACTCTTAATTAAATGAAAATGACTCAGGACCACAACACCTCAAGGACCACAAGAGGTCCAGAGGGTGGCAACCCGGGAAGGGGCCTTCTCTGCAGTGGCTCCCCGTTTGTGGACTGCTTTCCCCAGGGAGACTTTCCTGGCACCTTCATTACATATCTTTAGGCACTAGGAGAAAACATTTCTCTATAACCAGGCCTTTGGCTGGCTGGCTGAAGATTCTATGGTCTCTAAATGTGTTTGTGGGAGGAGGGTTATTGGGGTTTTTTGTTTTGGTTTTATTATGTAAATTGTGTTCTCCTTTTGTATCTTTATGTTGTGAACTGCTCTGTGATATTCAGATGAAGGGCAGTATACATATTTAAAGTACAACAACCAGACTGGTGAGGAGGCCCAAAGCAGATGGAAAGAGAAAACAATGATTTCTCCCAAGATAGGGAGTTAATTCCATAGTAATTTCTATTGCAAATGAGCTTAATCTTCAGGGTTTGGGACATTTGAGTAACCGAAAATGTCTAGGATAATCAGCTATTACCCTCTTCCTTTTTTTGTTTTAAGGGTGATCTCACAAGTGACACCAGTGAAGAAACTCAGAATATGGTTAGGACTGCAAGCGATACAGGGTTATTCTAAGAATCTGGAAAGTGGGCCTTATGCTTAAATTTGTTGCTGTTTTTTCATCTGGTTTGACAGTTAGGATTTTAAAGTGCATTATCTGTACAGTATTGATTTTAAGTGGGAGTTTGTGGGTTAATGTAATCAATCTATCCTTACAGAGTCAGTGTTCTTTATTTGTTAGAATTTGATCCCCGTACCAAAATACAGCAAGTATGGGTATACTAGGCAAAGGCGTCACACAAAAAGATCTGGAAGCATTTCAACAGTTGGTGTTCAGATGTGATAAAGTGGGATTACTGAGTAATATCATGCTTCTCTTTTGCATGCACAAGCTTATTTCTACACTTGGCATTTTTTATTTTCTTTTTCATGCTGTACACTTGTAGAAAGTAAATGAGAAAACCTTTATAGGACATTCAGGACCCAGAATTTCCAAATCAAATGATATCTCCTGGTAGATGACATATATTAGTACTTTAGTTTTCAATGAATTATTTATTTTTCCATCCGATAAAAACAGAGTAAATGGAACACTTAAGCTCCATCAGACGTTTTCCTTCAGATTACCTGAACCTAAATTCTTAGCTCTTTTTGTCTGTAAACACAAGATGGCTGCAGTCTTTGGCACACTTACCTGTGAGTAAGGCTCATTGAACACAGTGGGACTTGTTTCTGAGTAAATAGGCATATAGTTGCACCATAAAAGATGCAAGTATACGCATATTTCATCAATTGTACAACTGAAAGGGAACTTGGGCAACTTTGCACTAGAAATGTACCATCACAATATATACTTGTCTGCCACCAAGCTTGTTTTTGTTTCTCAGTCATACAAATGAATGCTTCATATCATAAAACTGACAGACCTCTGTCTAGTTCAGCAGTCTTCTGTGTTTCTGAGCTTTCGGGAGCTGATGCAGTTTAACTTGCACTCTTGTTTTTCTGCCTTTATCAAAACAGAGTGACAAGCATATGTATTCCATAAAGCATGGAGCCCAATAAACTTTAAAAACATTTCATTAAGCTAAATATGGTTTTCATCTAATCTAAATATTGAATGAGAAACCACAGTAGATAAGTTTTGATTAGCCTTTTGGAAAGAGTCTTTTGGAATATAGAGAATGTAAGGCTTTTCAGAAATGAACTACAATAAACTGTTCCTGAATTTCAAGCACATGATATAATTACACAGGTTATCTCAGACTATTCACCGTCTAGTCTCTTTTAGTCAAATTATACACTAAGCAATTTTTTTTAATAAAAAAAAACCTCACAAGCTATTTATTTTCTTCTAGCTTTCCCCAGACCAGCTGGTCTTACTTCTGGAGTGCCTCTTGGAAAAGAAGACATTATGTTCAAAAATGCTGGAGTGCTTACAGAAAACTTACCACCTCCGTGAGCAGGATGCAGAGGTAATCCAGTTACAGACATAGTGAGCTCATAAACTTGGCAAAAATAAGGCAGTAGTGGGGGAATATCCCCATTATGCTACATCAAGAGTTAATCTGAATTTTTTTAACAAATGAAAAAAGTCTAAATCTATCCTGGAGGCAGTACAGGCAGTACATAGGTTGCCTTTACTACTTTCAGCTGTGCAACTATGTTTTTAATAAACTTTAGTTTCTAATTAAGCATGTGTGTACATGTATGATCCCATGGTTAGGTGACTACAGGCAAGTCTCATCCTTCAGCTTTGTCTTTTGAGTTTGAAAAATCACTCACTAAGAGGTTTTCTTTTTTAAAAAAGTCTCACATTGGTATTCAATGCTTTCTGTGATCCAGTACCTGCTCATAATTGTCCAGTGCTTAATTGTTTAATGCTTGTGTTCAGCCATGATCAAGAATTGTAGTGCACAAATGTTAGGCTGAGCATTTGTTTTTATCTTAATTTTTGGTTTTTATTGGTATAACAAGCATACAAAAGACATAGAGATTACAACAAATCATTGAGTCTGCCTCCCTTTCTCCCCCATTGGCCGGGGGTATCTCATTGTATATCCACATAATTCTTCTTTTTTGATCCATACAGGATAAAGATTTAACATTTGTGAGAAATTAAAATGCCGTTTCAGTGATATGAATTCCAAGCAACAGTTGTTTCTTAGCCAACAAGCATTGTAATTATAGCATATATTGCAAATGTGATAATTTGTTTCTGGCAACTGAGGGACTATGAGGGACTTCTGCTGAGAAAAAAGAGGAAGAAATGCAACATAATGCTGGACAGGCAGCACCCAGCACATATAGATTTCACTCTTGCTGAGCTCCCCCTCCCTCAACCCACTGAGATTAGAAAACACTGATAAAACCATTCCTTATGATTATAAGGTAAACCTGAAAATCACAATGGAGCTCTTGCCCTGTGCTCTCTCCCTACTCAAGTGTTTGCTATCGCTTCTCCTATCATCTCACCTGGCTATGGTAAGCTTACAGACAGTACCATTATTTTCAGCAGATACATTTGTCTGGAGCATTGTTTAATGTTCAGATTGCCAAAATGTTTTATGGGCCCCTGCTTTGAATGGTGTCATCTGGTAGCTATCCTTTGCCTTCTTCAAGAAGCCCTCAGTACCTTCATGGCATCCTGCTTTTCCTCTGTTTTGGGGATTGGTCCAAAGCTAAAACCGGTGATACATACATTTTCAGAAAGAAGAATTAAATAGCTTTGAGAGCTCGTTGATTGCATTTCAGAAGTAGTTGCCAATTGGCCACTGCCTGTCCTGGCATAAAGAAAAAAGATTTCAAAATTTGACTTTTAACTACTTGTGTATGAAGACAAGAGAAAGTGTCTGTAGGAATTTAATTTTAAAAAAATTATTGCTGTGGTTAGAACTGAAGCTATGGGGGGAGTAGCCATTATAATTGCAGCAATTTGTTTTTGCAGGTTCTGGAGTGCTAGCATGAGCTTTTGTAGATCAGAACATCAGATTTAAAACCACACAATTCAAAAATTTCTACTTTCTCCAAGGAAATGCTCAGTGTAATATGATAATAGTTTATTTCAACTTTTATTTATTTGTTTATATGGTGTTCTGAATGCCAGATTTATTTTTACTTAGCCTTGAAAGTTTCACTTTGCTATTTATAGGAATTAAGATATATTTAGGGTATATTTTAATCACACACAAATACCAGAGAAATGTCAGGACTTCTATATCTGGAAGAGAAATAACTGAGGAGGTAAGATCAAAGCTGTAACTCCTCTGTTGCAGTTTCATGCCAGAGAACCTAGGCCTGTGAGATTTTCACACCCTGCTGATATTATTATTTCCCCTTTCTACTATAAATTGTGTCAAATTCATGCCACTGAACTTGTATGCAGTTTTGGCCTTTGAAACAAAGTTATAACCTCTGTAGCAGAAACACTACGTCAGCTTTATTTTGCAAGGTGAAATCAAGGGCTTAACTAGACCCTTTAAGAAGGGCAACTAAGATAACATTACCATGAACGTTTCTGCAGCTACTGAATCACAGGCACCTACGCCCCTCAAAAGGGAATGTTGGTTTACGTACTGTCGCCTGTCGAAGCGAGGGGCTTTCCATATCCAAATACAGTTAGCGCTCTGCTGAAGGTTTTTTCCTTGTAATGTTGGCAAGTTCTAGGACCAGTGTGGAAGTTTTGAGTACAGTGGTACCTCGGGTTCCATACGCTTCAGGGTTACATACGCTTCAGGTTACAGACTCCGCTAACCCAGAAATAGTGCTTCAGGTTAAGAACTTTGCTTCAGGATGAGAACAGAAATTGTGCTCCGGCAGCAGCAGGAGGCCCCATTAGCTAAAGTGGAGCTTCAGGTTAAGAACAGTTTCAGGTTAAGACTGGACCTCCGGAACAAATTAACTACTTAACCCGAGGTACCATCGTACAGTGGTGCCTCGCAAGACGAAATTAATCCGTTCCGCGAGTCTCTTCGTCTTGCGGTTTTTTCGTCTTGTGAAGCACGGCTATTAGGTGCTTAGTGGCTTTAAGAAAAAGGAAACAAACTCGCAAGACATTTCGTCTTGCGAAGCAAGCCCATAGGGAAATTCGTCTTGCGGAACGACTCAAAAAATGGAAAACCCTTTCGTCTAGCGAGTTTTTCGTCTTGCGAGGCATTCGTCTTGCGGGGCACCACTGTATGAGGGTTTTAATCAACAACATTCAATTTGAAGAGGGCGAGTTTCCTGGTTATAAAATAAAAATCAAGTTGTTAGGGGTACTGCTTTATTCAGGATGTTTTGTGCCGTTCAAACCCCCCACTCAGCCACGGTGACCTTGGGCCTGCCACTGCCTCTCACCCTAGTCTGCCTCACAGGGTTGTTGCCAGGATAAAATTGGCCAGGGGGAGAGCCATGTACGCTACCTTCAACTCCTGGGGAGAAAGGTGGGATATAAAAGTAACAATTTATCAATAAACTAAAATGTAGAAATGAGAAGATCATGTAGGCAGGCTTCAGGTGGTCACTCAGAAATTGTTTTACATTACCGTAATTTTCTGCTGCAAATGTTGAGATGTACAGTGGTACCTCAGGTCACATACGCTTCAGGTTACATACGTTTCAGGTTACAGACTCCCCTAACCCAGAAATAGTGCTTCAGGTTAAGAACTTTGCTTCAGGATGAGAACAGAAATCGCGAGGCAGCGGGAGGCCCCATTAACTAAACTGGTGCTTCAGGTTAAGAACAGTTTCAGGTTAAGAACAGATCTCCGGAACAAATTAAGTACTTAACCCGAGGTACCACTGTACTCAGAGATAAGTTCCACTCAGCAGATTATGCTTTTTTTAAAAGCAGGGATTGGTAAATGAGACACTAAAACAGAGGAGAATATTTTCTGCAGATGTGTTTGATTTTATTTATTCTGCTGACAGACGGTATCTATCCACAAGAAACTCCCCTTTGTTAGGAGGGGGATCACTGGGTGTAGAACATAAATGCAAATAACCAGGGGCTATTTGTAAGAACAGAAAATCAATGAGAAGGGAATGCACGCTGACAGCATGTGTTCTGACAAAACCTGATGAGCTATTGGGAAGGGCCGGAGATCAAAGAGGGAATGTAGAACTTTAGGTTTCGGATGACATGCCGCCCCACCCACCCAACCTGCCTCCCAGAAGGTCAACAACGTTGTTACAACACATGACCCACAACACCGAGATTTAGACACACGTCTCGCCCATGCAGTTGTACTATGATTAGCACAAGAAACAGAGCCTGCACATTTATTCATGCTTTAAATCCTGTTGTTATTAATATTTTTTAAATAACCACGTGGTACGGCATTCAGGCATACGCCACAGCCATTATTAAAACACTCACTGTGGAGCAAGGATACCAAAATAAAAGGCCACTGCAGCTTCACTTACGAAGATTTGCCTCTGAATGTATTTATAATAGTGTTGTTGTAATCTACACTGAATATGCTTACATGCACTAGCTGACCTTGGGTATGCACCAGTGTCTTCTGCATGTGTTGCTGTTCAAAACATTGATGGCATATAACTGAACCATCCATGTGGATGATAATTTGACATTATTATAGGGCCCTGATCAGAGAAACCAAGTCTAAAAGGGCATCTCGTATAGCCCATATTCTGCATTCAGTTAATTTTGGTCTTGCAACACGTTGTATTCATGTACTGAGGTTTAAAAAGTTAATATTTTTTACAGAGGCTGTGTGGTTCTAAACAATACATAATTGGAACAGTCTTGGCTTTACCACAGAGGACATTTCACTGCCAAAAATTTTTGCAAGGAGAAAAACAATTTTAAGGCTAATTTCCTTCCTTTCCTGCTAGATAGCTCGAATCTGAAGTATGCTTTTAAGGCATTTTATCTGAACTATCTACCTCTTTCTCAGTATTAGCAAAATTGGCTCTAAAAATTATTTTTAGACTATATTAGAGTTTACAAAGTGGACTTGATTAATGTTTCATTTGTTCTTTTGAGCTTCTAAGCTTGGATTTAAAGCAGTAGGAATATGAGCAAAATGAATATAAATGTATACACTCTGGTTTTCGACACTATAATAGAAACAAAGAGTGAGGTGCTCAAGACTGAAGAATGAACCTAAGTGTGCCCTCCCATGTACAGTGGCACCTCGGCTTACATACGCTTCAGGTTACAGAATCTGCTAACCCAGAAATAGTGCTTCAGGTTAAGAACTTTGCTTCAGGATGAGAACAGAGATTGTGCTCTGGCGGTGCGGCAGCAGCAGGAAGGCCCCATTAGCTAAAGTGGTGCTTCAGGTTAAGAACAGTTTCAGGTTAAGTACAGACCTCCGGAACGAATTAAGTACTTAACCCGAGGTACCACTGTATGTCAATTTAGAAGCCACCCAGAGTGGCTGAGATACAGATAAGAAAATTATTTTAAAAATATTAACAATATTATACAAGAAGCTTCCATAGTGTTCAGTGAGACTTGCTCCCAGGT